ACACACACACACACACACACACACACACACACACACACACACACACAGCTTAATCAGATTCTGTCACACAAACCCTCTCGTCTTTGTGAATGTTCGCAAATTGCAAAGTATCAGCCAGGGCCAGGCTCAAAATGTGCACAAACGTATAGGATACTGTAAATATACAGCAGATATGAACTATATTCTAAAATGAGTGTAGCTCAGGCCACAGATTCCCTTGAAGAACAAAACAATTTCTTTGTCAAGGAAAATCATAGAGCGCCATGATAAGCCTCCTTTCAGCAGCGCTCGACTGCTGTTTGGCAGCTCTGCTGTGGAATGAGCACATGTGGAAACATGTTTTAAGTGTGTTTGGCAGGAATGCAAATGATAGATGATTCGCAAATGATTCAGGTCCTATTCAGTAGGTCAGGATCTATTGCATTTATTGTAATTATTCCATTGAGCTGGCAGATGAATAAGTACGTAAATTGTTGAATAAGCACAGTAAGAGCGATAAACATACTGAGCATGCAAAGATTTCCATACTGTCTGCTTCTACTTTTAACGTCTCTTCACATCATTTTAGCTTCACTGATCCGATTTGCAACACAATGTAAAAGAAGCCGCTTGGCTGGTTGGCTGCTGTTGGACCGGTCGGCTTAATTAAACCCAGACAGTTGGAGGAAGTACAAGTCTCTGTCCCTACAGGATCTACATTAAGTCTCCACTCTGCTAATCAGAAAGCCCTTCAACTACATCAGCATGTCCCTCTGGCCCAACAAACAACCAAATCTTATTTGTCTTCGTAACCTTTTCAGGAAGCTTGAATTATTTTACTATCAAGTCTGGAAAATCAATCCCGGGCCGTCTCTGTGTTCATCACAATCATCCTAAACAGATCAGCTGTGTAGCTCATTGTCTGTTTCTTCTTTTGCCCTTGGTACCACGGAGGACAGAGGGTGGGAAGCTGTGGGTGGCAGGAAGTTGAGAGAGTCATGCCTACAATGGGGCATCAGGACTCTGTCAGTCAGCCCCAACTCAAGCGGGTCGATTCTATCTTCACAGTGACATCGGAGAAGTTTAGCGATGGAGACCGGCAGCGAGGCGAATGGAAGAGCAGAGGGACCGCTCCCTGGGTTAGATTGCACTGAATGCTCAGATAAGACGACAGGAAAGGGCAGATTGGGGCAGGGCGGCAGGGGGAGCTGGCTGGGGCTACTGTTACCCCAGGAAGAGCTCACTCATCCCTCAGATCACCTGTGGAGGTCAGGATGTGATTCAGTCACGCAGTGCCACCAGCCAGGAGTTGGACTCAATGTAAGTAGTAGGGGTCCCCTCTACAGCAACTGTGTACAATCAGTTACTGTACTGCTGGTTTAACATGTTTTGGCCAAAAAATACAAATATGTTTCTATTTAAAAATGTCTGGCAACCTTTTTTCAAAGCTTTTAGATTTGGAACAATCCAGTTGGCCATTAGTTTTCTATTAATTTCAGCGCAGAAACATAACTTGCAGAGTGACTTGAAGCATAAATAATTGTAAATTGATTATCTTGTAAACCGTTAGTCAGACAAAATGTGGACTCTGTTAAAGTTGATTATTTGCCCATTATTTTTGACATTTATATGAGCTGAACAAGCGATCAATTGATGAAAATTAAAAATAAATAAAAAACTACTGGCATAGTAAGCAACCGGGTATGGAAATGCTGTGATGCAACTCGGGAGACATATGGTTAGTCCTGCAGCACACATTCCTGACAACACACACACACACACACACACACACACACACACTGGTAAAATAAACCATGCTGTAGTATCTTCATCTGGAGTGCATTTCCTGTCCTCTTGGCTTGGCATATGTCTGCTAGTTGCTCCTTTACAACATCGCTCTCTGTTGTAGCGCCCCGCATGCACAGAAACTACTCTCCAACCATTTGAAACAGAACTTTAGGGGACAAAGACCACGACCTTAGACTTCTGTTCTGGGTGTGGAAAAAGTAAAGCGATGATATGCACTTCCCACATCTGGAAGAATCCTACACGGTGGATTATGTTGGTTCAGGGTATAGTTTTGACAAGCACCGTTTCCAGTTTTGCTTAATTCTCTCACCAAGAGTCAGAGAGTTGCAATCATCAGTGTTGCACACTGACCCAAAACTCACTTGTGGAATGAAAATTTAAGAGGACAATAAAGTAACATCAAGCAGCTCTTTAACAAGACAAATTTGACAGCACAACCCACCTCCCTTGGTGAACATGCTGTGGAATTTGTGTGTCAAATTTTACAAGGTGAGAAGTGAGGAGAGACTTCAATTCGGGAGCAACAGTGGTGATGAAACAAACAAAAAATGTCAGGAAATGATCCTCTATCAGCTTTTTAACCGAGCAGAGGTCGTAACCAGAAGTTTTCACAGGAGCTGTGAAATGTTAGTTTTGGAGTGAAAGTAAACA